CTTCAAACTCGAATCTGTAAAATTGAATATTTCAAAAATAAAGAAAGCAATCATTCCGAAAAAGTAGAATCTTCAAATAAAAATTTTGAAATTCTGAAAATCCGAATTCCTGATCCCAAAATTAGTCATCCCGTCCAAAAGACTAGACAATTTCATATTTCACCTCGACAAGGATTCGCTCACAGGCCACAACCATAAAAATTTCTCACGTCCAGAATGTCTGAGACTCAAACCGCTGAAATGAATTTCAGTAGTTTCCCCGATAAAAAAAATCCCGATCTCTCTCCCTGAGCACCGACTATTCCACAAATACTCAACGACTCGAATTAAAAATGACCAATTGCCGTGATGATTCCCTCGGCGAACGACGATACCATGCCATTGCGTCCCGGATGATCTCCAATTCATCGAATTGTCGGTGCTCGGAGATGACGAGCGCACACCATAAGTAGTAAAGGAAAATAGCCCCTCGGGTTGGATCCGATGAGAATTATCCACAACCACGCGACCAGAAGTTGGAGACGTACGACGATGGATAACTTCTCCAAGCAAAACGGTTAAAAAGATGGTAGGACGCGCGTGGCGATTCGCTGAACTGGTTGTTGCCAATGTATAGAGTTCTCCATACTATCCCCAACACATCGATAATCTGTATTAAAACATCACACACACACTGCTATAAAATAGAAAACATTGAATACTGTCGTATGGTTTTTCCAACCACCAGAGGAAGTCAACAACCCCTTAACCGAAGAGTAGTTGGTTAAATCAACTGGTCTCATATCCTCATCCCGTGTAATCGTTAATGATTATCGTATTTGGATCGTATTAAAATTTTCTGCTAAACAACATGAGCCTCATCGTTTGACAAATGTAAATGACGCTATGTTCTCCTGCTCCATGTGCTAAACATTATTTATATTATAATGAAAATATACGAGGTAACCTTTTCACTGGCAACTCTCTCAAGTACCAATTAAAATTAACATTTACCGTCTCGAGTTTTTTATGCACTATTACGAGTATCGCCCATTTATTTAACTTTTTTATTTTTCACCGTGGAAAATCGGCAGAGGTTAATAAGCACCGCTAGTGCTAGACAGATTGAACGGTTTGCCACTGCTAGGAAGGGAGCAATGTCAATTGATTATCCGTCGTTTATCTTATCTATTGGGAATCTACACTTTGCCGTACCATTGCACTCAACTAAGCGGAATTTATCCCCAAATTTTTGCAAATTATCCTTGTCTAATTATTATTTCCATGTCGGTGGAAGATCACAACTGCTACTACCCTCATTTCATCCAAAATGTCTCCATTTTTTTTATTAAAAAGCAATTTTACTGAATGTATGGTAGATTCACATGCTCATGGATAAATATATTCAAAATATGTAGGGGAGACCGGGATAACTGGGACACGTGATAAAATGACATTAATCAGGAGGTTTAATGGAAGACGTGGGAAAAATCCATCGTGAAAATCCATTGCTCAATATTTCAGTTTTTCCAGAATTTTATTACATCGAAAAATAAGGGGTTGAAGTGAGATGCCGTATTTTTTGCAAATGTTTGAGAATCAAGACAGTAAAATAAACAGTAGAATTGAAAAAAAATATTTGATTCACAAAAAAGAATGGATAATGAAGTAAAAATGATTTTATGCGAGTGTGTCATTTTGCACGGGTGTCTTTTATATATTTACAAAATTAAAAAAAAGTAAGGAAAATAATGAAAAACGGCAAACGGTCAGCAGATTAGGCGCAGTCCGTCGGTTAAACTGATTTATTCCCTCCATTGTCAGAGATAAATAGTGATGGTGGTGCGCAATAAGCTCAAAGAAAACAGGATTTGTCAGCGAAACTTGACCAGTCCTGTTTTTCCCATCGTATGACCCCTACGCCTTGTCTTAAAAAACCGTTTGGCTTTTAAAAAAATAATACCATCTAGTTCTCATCCAACGGACATCATTCTCAAGCAGTTCTGCATATTACCGAGCAACAACGAAACTGCCAGAAATCAGGTTTTCGTTCCCACCGACCGGACAAGACCAGGAAATCGAAGAGGCCAGTGGTGCAAAAAAAATATCATCATCAAATAAAACGTGGACAAGTTTGCCCCC